AAGAATTCTAGGGATTTTAAGAATTCTTACTTCAAATAACGAAACATAATTTTACAGAATTAACGACGAATCAAATAAGGAAGCTACTGTGGTGTGTGAAAAACTTTTAGTGAATCGACATTCTGGGTAATTTTAACTATTTGTAATTATTTTAATTAACTGGAAAGTGGCTATCTTGGACAAAGTGAAGTTTTGTGTGTTGGTGATTTCTTTTTCTACTATAAATGCCTCTGATGATGGCTCCGTGGTGAGCCGAAACATGTAAGGCAGGTGCTGACGAGGTGGAAAACTTAAACAAGTGTCACATTTGACGGAAGGAACTTGATTGTTAATTGGTTAATGTGACGGACCAGAATGAAAGACCTTAAACTTAAAAATATATATATATCTTTACACATCCCTGTAGCTAGACACACCCTCTGCAGCCTCTATATCACACATGTCTACCTCTGCATCACTCGGATGAGTCACTCTTACGCCCTGTACACTTGTTGTAATGTTCCTAACTCATGTCCCATTGGAGGAGTGACATTTTAATAATATCACAATTATTAAGCATGGCGATAAGAGTAGTTTCACTTACTTTGCGTTGAGACTGCAGATGGATGGCGTGGCCCGGCGCTTAGTCGGTGCTCCTTCCAACATGGCCTCCGGCCGCAAATGGGCCAAATTTACTGTTTGAATAATTGCCACAATAATTTGCTCTCCGAGTTATATACCTTTATTCATGCTAACTCATTACTTTCCCGGGGGGTGTAAGTCCGCCTCCAATGACGTCTTATCCCAAGGTGGCTGCTCCCGTTGGCTGGGATCCTAAGGGGTGGATACGCCTCTTTTCTGCTAGCCCATTTGGCTAACACTTTTACCTGCAAACGTCCCTCCCTTCACTCTAGTGTAGATTCTGCAAAGTTAGCATTTCGAGGTACCTTCAACGTCATTCTGCTGACAAGACATCGACGCGTCAAAGGCTAACGTCCGTCTAACTCCATACGCAGAAACTCCTTGAAGTTTCTTAACCCTTCTTACATCCTCTTTCGTACGTCTTACAAGTATTTCCCAAAACTAATTCTACTCTAGCCAACATTTTCCCCTAAAATAATAAAATTTAAATACTCTTTTTACATGTTACCGGGAGTCGGCCTTCAGGGCACAACAATAGACAACAACGTTTCCATGTTCACCGTACTTTCTCATGCTACGTATATGAGAAAGTAAAAATCATTACACACGCGAGTGATATGTACATTTCTGATACATAATTAAAGTGTCTGGGAAATATAAACTGCGATTTTATCATGGCCAATAGGAGCAGAGAACGTTATTGCTGACGAAGGGGCAAGCTATGTGAACTTACACACTAATACAGTGTTCTGTGTTTTTAAGTGGCGAGTTCTGAGAACAGTCAGAAAACTTGCCCTGGCTTGGGGTGCGCTCTCCGCTAAATTCTCTCACAACAGGAGATAGGATAAGGTGGGTATGTGTTTTCAGTATCTATTTATTTGTTTACTGATCGGTTTATGCATTATTTATTTATTTTGTATGACCTGTCTCGTAACAGCGATGCCACTTAATAGGCTAATCAGAAACAGGTAAATATACAATGGGAATGAATCCCGCTATTCGCGTGGCCAATTAATATCTCACTGGAAGAGAATAAGAGAGGGCCCATGGATCCCGGGGATGTCAAATAACATAGGAATAATCATCTGGTAATCATACAACTGGTATAAGCAGATCAGCATTTGTCGTGTCTTTCTTACGTCATTTCAACGGAAAACTAACGTCAGTTACTTACGACAGGATCAGAAGATGGTAGCAATAAGTGGTAAAGGAAGGGTGCTTCAGTTGGTATTGCAGTGACGTCAGTTAATACCACAGCAGGGGTAGGTCAGGCGCTATAGTAACTAGGCTACAGGTTACACTACCAGGAAATTGTGGTTCAAATCCAGGCAAGGGCATATACAGGCTTCCACAGAGTCCAGACTAGATCTGTGGTAAAGCTGCCGGAGAGTGAGTCTGATCATTAACCTCCATCTAGTTCAACGCAAGAGTTATCTGTGGCAACGTATGTTAGAGATGGGGGTTGATAAATTCTTCTGTTAAATTTTCAACGGGGTATTTCATTAGTATGAAACAATTTCAACATTTTCCTGCTCTGAATGTCTGAATATGCTGTATTCAGTAGCCGAGAATGGGTTGTCCTCCACATTAGTTGCTGACAAATGGAGCAAAACGCTATACTTAAAAGAGAAAAGGTCAGAAAAGCATATAATAGACGAAAATTAGGACAGCAGTACCGAAAGTAACTGAACTATCAAAGCAGTTGCTGTTAGACAAATAAAATGCACAGGAGACATTTTTAAGGACTGAACTAAGAAATGAAGGTAACTCCTGGACTGAGTTCTACAAACATGTAAAAAGACGCAGAGGAAACAAGAAAGTATATTCCTGCGATCAAAGATGTTAATTGGCGGCTGGTTACTGATTCGATAGAAAAGGCTAACTCCCTCAACTTCTATTCTTCTTCCGTATTCAGCATTAAGCGTAGCATCCCCCAAATATAACCCTTCGCAGTTAATACCAAAATTATTAGGAAAAGGTTAGCAACGATAGGTAAAAGCAAATCAGTGGGGCCAGACAGAATTTCTGTTGAAATACTAAAAATAGGTGGGAAAGCCATGGACCCATACCTGGCGCGATTATTGGATGTAACAATTAATAATGCCACTATCCCGAGTGACTCACAGCGCCATAGCTCAAGCGGTTATTCGCTAGCTTCTAACCGCGGCGGCCCGGGTTCGATCCCGGGTCTGGTCAGGTGGGATTTGTGGTGGTCAAAGTGGCACTGGGGCAGGTTTTCTCCGAGTACTTCGGTTTCCCCTGCCAATCTTCATTCCACCAATTGCTCCACAATCACCCGCATCTATCATCTTGTGTTGGTACAATAGGCCAGAAGTGGCCGCAGTACAAAGGACTTAGTCCCACCTCACTAGCAATTAAAAAAAATCTCGAGTGACTGGAAGAAAGCCATAGTTGTTCCTATTTATAAAGGGGGTGAACGATGCAAGTCTCAAATTACAGACCCGTCAGTTTAACCTCTGTAGTCTGCAAGCAAATGGAACACGTTATAGCGTCGTACCTGAGGAAAATCTGGTATAAAAAGGATTGGTTATTTGAGGGTCAGCATGGATTCAGGCCTGGATATTCATTAGAAAGTCAAATAATCACGGTTTGCCAGGACACTGCAGACTCACTGGTTAATGGAAGTAGGATAGACGGAATTATAATAGATTCTTTCGAAGACCTTCGGTTTAGTCCCCCATGATCAGCTGCTTAAGAAAATTGCGGTCTCAGTTATGGACTCGAGGGTAGTTATATGGATAATGGAATTCCTTTTGGGCCGTACACAGAGAGTTAGAGCAGAGGGCAATTACCGAAGGAAGTCAGAGGAACGCCAGGAGTACCGCAAGGAAGTGTACTGGGGCCACTGCTGTTCCCTGCGTACGTACACAGAGAGTCAGAGTAGAGGGCAATTACCGAAGGAAGTCAGAGGAACGCCAGGAGTATGGCAAGGAAGTGTACTGCTGTTCCTCGCGTACGTACACAGAGAGTTAGAGTACGAGGGCAATTACCGGAGGAAGTCAGAGTACCGTCAGGAGTACCACAAGGAAGTGTACTGGGGCCACTGCTGTTCTTCGCGTACGTACACAGAGAGTTAGAGTACGAGGGCAATTACCGGAAGAAGTCACAGTAACGTCAGGAGTACCGCAAGAAGTGTACAGGGTCCGCTACTGTTCCTCGCGTAAGTAAACGATATCTGGAGAAATAGTGAGCCAACTACTAGACATTTTGCAGATGACTGTATAATATATAGGAAAATTACAAGTAGTAAAGATACGAAAAAGTTGCCGATAGTTCTGCACAGACTTGGGGAATGGGCGGATGAAATCGCGATGATAATTGATCCAACTATAAGCAAGGCGTCGGTCACGGTAGCCGAGCGGTCTGAGGCATGCACTGTCTTCGCTCGCTCGGAAGCCGGGATCGTGGTTCGAATCCCACTCAGAGTATGGATGTTTGTGTGCGTTTTTCTGTGTTTGTCTATAGGTAGAGGCCTTGCGACGAGCTGATCACTCGCCCAAGGAGTCCTACCGTATGTGTAAGATCGAGAAAAACCGAAGTGAACGGAGTTCATGGAGGTAGGCCTAGGCCCACTGGGGCTGTAGTGCCAAGGGGGGGGAGTAAGGCAGTTTGTTTCACGAGAGCCCGAGTGACGGAACAACTAAATTATTCGTTAGGGTGCACAGTAATTCCTGAAGCGAGCAGTTGTAAATATCTGGGAATAATTTTACGCAGCGATCTAAGTTGGGCTGATCAAGTAAATTACAAGGTGAAAAGGCCTGGAAGGCGCTCCATTTTACAATGTGTATTCTAAAAAAGGGAACTAGCAAACCTAAATATTTAGCCTACAATCTTTAGTACGTCCGATCCTGGAATATAGGGCGGCTTAGGGACAGATAAATGTGTTAGACAGGGTGCAATAGAAAGCGGCTAAATTTGCACATCACAGGAACCTTGACATAGCGCGGGCAGATAGCTCGCATATGTGCTCTCTTCGAAGCATACACGGGAGAACTGGCTTGGAAGCCTATAGGTTATAGATTACAAAGGCCATGCTCTCTGAGCAGAGGCGATCATGACAAGAAAATTAAGAGCAGAAAGCAACGAACAGATATCGGAAAATACTCCTTTGTAAGTAGGACCATAGAGATCTGGAACCAGCTACCTTCAGGTACTTTAGGGACACTCTCCTGCAAACCAAGTAATTTTAGGAAAAGGGTTAGGAAAGTGATAAATGAGGCAGAGTGAAGGCGGGGTGGAAATCAGAAAAAAAAATGCAGTAAAGTGAAGTGAAATGTTAAGGATGGGAGGATTACGTAAGTGTAGTCAAGTGAAAAGAAGGGAAATTGAGAACATGGCATTGCGCATTCATTGCTGTTAGTTTAATATATATCATGTTAATTTTCTGCTAATGGTGTGTTTTTCTACTAATGTTTTGTGCTGTGTTTTGTTTGAACGTGTCTGTGTATGTTATTTGTCTGTTGTCTTATTATAGTACCACTGCTACCGGGTGAAAACCCATTTGGAATTAAATAATAATAATACTGATAATAATAAAAGAGATATCTCCATAGTGCAAAGTGTACAATAAAGCATTGGCAATGGGACGAAGCAGGACATGTATGAAGTGTACATACGCAGGCACATAGGTACTTTACATTGAATTTCGAGTCTGAGACGTAATGTACCTGCGGGCTTCACTTCTTTAACACATTTAATATAGAGTAAACCCTCTCCAATCCGGACTAAGCAGTATTTCTGATTAATGATGCAAAGAAATTGCCCTAAAATACAAGAAGAAAACACTTAGAAAACAAATAAATACAAAATTTAATATTGGTAACGTTTATGAAAATAAATAGAAAGAAGTAATTTCAGCAATTTCTTCCTCTGTCAGAAACTGAAATCCAGGGTCTCTCCTTCCAGCTGAAGCCAATCTTGGATATTTTCATGCGTGGTTTCAGTCTCTCCAGATGTCCTCAACATGGTCTGAAGGTCCTCTACCCCCCAAACGCCACGTGTCTTTTTACAGCATCTACTCAACTGTTAAGAGCATTTTCCACATTTCGATCAGGATTAACTGTAACCGGATTAACCAGGGCTTTTATATTGTCACGTGTAGGGGGTTACGCGTGGCGAAATGACAGGTTCTAGTTCGGGTGATTGGATTTATTAGCACTTCAGTTACACACACCCTCTCTTAATTACACTTAAACAGAGCAATACAGCGTTATTCTTGATTTACACATCTTCCAGTTCATCGTTGCGCACGCACTAGGATTCTTTGTCTTCACTAGTCGTCTCCTAGCAAAGGATTTCAATACAGAAACTATCACCTCAAATCACAGCCGAGGGACAGACAACGCATCATCCTAAACACACGTCACATGATCGCTACCCTCCACTGTTGTGTGAAGTCACCGCACGCGCAGGAAACATGTCACGTGACGGCCACGTACTGTTGTGTTACGTCACAGCGCTTATTTGGGGGTCTGTGTTTCTCTATATTACCCTATGGTTGCTAGGCAACAGGTCGGTAAACATATTCTCGGAGCAATGAAGAATTGTCTCCTATGCGATTCGTGTCGTAACAGAGGGAAAGCAGACTTTGCTACAAATTTAAGAGATGTTATATCACTCATCACACCACAGGCTTGTAGGATTTACCGTAGACACAAGCAACAACATACACCGGTGTTTGCTTTGGCAGTTGCTGCACATTTAGTAACAGAAATCTGTGTTAACAAGATGGTCAATCCACATAATGAGAAATTGGAGGTCTCCACTGTATGGCTTTTGTACTTTTTGCTACGGATTTGGATGCTAAAAATGCAACGGTAACAGAATGA